ACCGTGAGTAAGCGAACAGGTGCCGCTCGCCTCAATGCCGTCGGCGACCGTTGTGATCAATCTTGCTAAGCTTTTGTTTTCGCTGGGTTTTTTGTTTATGGACGTAAAGGGCAGGCCAGGGTTGGGCAGGGCATGGCAGGACAACGACGCCTTAGAAGTGCCAATGGCAGCGACAGTAGCTCCAGCTTTTACCATCAGCATCAGCATCAGCATGAGCATCAGCGCAGACATTGAGACATCCTGTGACAGGCAACAACAAAGCAAACTGGGACGAGTCCTTTTCGGCGTCTTGGTCTATGATTGATTAGCAATTAATTAGCTACACAAATAACTGTAATTATATGCCAACGAGAACAATGTCAGGCCTTTGCGTCAAGCGCTCCTCGGCTCCACCCCAGTCAAGAGCCCAAAACCCACCTCCGCCCTTCCAAAGTACTCAAGTTCTAAATGACAGTTTTGAATATCCCTTTTATATTACCCGAAATATAATGATTTTTTATGTTAGGATGGTATGTTTAAAAAAGAAATGTAAATTGTAATAGCAATGTTACAAAATTCTTTTAAAGTTATTTATCTTTAAATTTATTAGTTGAATTATTTTTATTTTAGTTCATTTAAAATTTTATAAACAAATTGTTTTAGACTGTAGTTCAAATAAAAAAACTATTCTCATAATTTTTATTCTTAGGCCTGCTACAATTTAATTTTTTTTTTTTAGTAATATCGGTGAATTGTAATCTTAATGTTATATAATATCTTCATGTTTTTTACTTTTAATCATCAAATAACTCAATTCATTTATAACCAAAAAATTCTGTTAAACTGTAATCTAAATAAATAAATATCCCGCAGTTGAAATAGTTTGTTTATAGTTCATTTAAAAATGCTATTAAATTAATTAAAATAAAAATAAACAATCCCCAGGCTATTTATCTTTAGGCGTCCCACAATTTTTACATATTTATATTTAAATCGGTAAATTTTAATCTAAACTTAAAATTATTATTATTTTAAATTATTGAATTTTTCAAAATAGTTATTAAGTTGTACTCTAAGTGTTAAATAATTTTCCTCATGCTAAAAGTATGTGGAATGATTTTTGCCTGATGCCTTGCTACTGCTAGGGTATTTGCAAGTTCAGCAAGCACTACATTGCAAAACCGTTGCCACTTTTTATGCATTGCCATTGAAAATTATGTACTTGCGAAAATTTTGTTTTTTGGGTAGTGCTCCACCTTTTTTGCCGCTGTTGTTGTTTTGTGTTTTGTGTGAGAGAGCAGAGGGCGCATCGTTAGCTAATTTGCATTTGGTTCTTGTCATTTTATGTGCTTATGAAACGAATTTGTTGTTACTTTTGCGTGAGCGAGTGCCATTGCTTTTTACGATGCGAATGGCGGCCAATATATCCTAATGACACTTTATTGTCAGACCAAGTATTCGTCACAGTCAAAATACAAAAAAAAAAAAAAGGAACCAAAAGTAGAAGAAATAGACCTATAGAATGCCATTTCGATTTGGTATTGGGTCGCAGTCACCCCTAATTGCAATGTAACCTTAAAAAGAAGAAAAAAAAAACGCAAGTTGGCTTGCAAATTCGCGCTGGTTAGCTAACCAAATTTGAATATGGGCCCGAAGAGTGAACTCTTTAAGCCATGTTTTACTGGCCAAGACGTTCGTTGTGCTTGTCCTGACATTTCGACAGTTTTTGGCCGGCCAACAATGCATGACTGACCCTGTCAATAGTCTTGGGCCTGGCTACCCAAATCCATTTAGTGCACATGCAATATTTAATGCATGGACATGGATCGCAAAAGTGCGTCCAACTCCAAAGTATTGTCAGCCTTGTCAGCAGCAGCAGCAGCAGCAGCAGCAGCGGCAGCAAGAGCAGAGCAGAGCTGAGTAGACCGGGCACCCAGGGGCTGCCTGTGCCTGTGGCGGCATTGTTTCGAGTTGCGAGTTACCCGACGACCCGGGCGACCCCTCTTTAACCAGGCGAACTGCACGTGCATTTTGCTGACATTGAGTGGTCCGACAGGCGACGTGTGCGACGACGGGAAGGACGACAATGTCGTCCTCGGAATTGGTGGCTCTTTATGGCTGAAAGCTTTTGTCGCTGCTGCTGCCGTGGCACTAAACATGTCTCTGTCGACCCGCTGCTGTCGCCGCTGTCGCCGCTTTCCCGTTGGCGCGACTCCAAAATATAACTTAAGTTTCTGGTCAAATGAATTTGGCAAAGGTAGTCGAAGGCCCGAAGCCAAGACCCGAATGCGCACAACCAAAAACCAAAACCCAGCAAATTGGGCATACTTTGGGGAATCTTCTGAATTTATGCAGAAATTGCCAGCGGAAATGTGGTCGTTGTCGGTGGGGCTGCGGTGCCGAAGGCAAGGGCAAAACCACATTTTGGCACTTTAAGTGGCTTTTGTTATGGAAAAACTGTGCTTTGTTTTTGCTTTGTCACCTGTTTTCCTCGAGTGCTGGCCACCGATTCTCATAGCGTGCAAAGTTTTTACGATCTTGTCAACATTTTGACTTGAGTGCATTTTTACGCACATGCTGCCGCCACCTCACCCCTCCCCCGGCATGGTGGCAGTAAAATCGAAAAGTAATGCAATAAAATTCGCTTTCATTAAAAGCATTAAAATAGGTTTTTGACATGCCATAAAAATTGTTTTCACGTAAACACAAAACACACAACAACTCGGAAAACTGCTGCTGCCACACTTTACTGGAAATCAGCTAGAGCAGGAGGGCGACTTCAGGCGGGGGCAGACACAGTCTTGGCCCGAGTCTGGGGCGCTGCCGTTGGCTGTTAGCATTCGCGTCTAAATGGGAATTTTATTGTTCTGGGAGCTGCTCCCGACGCATTGCCATTAGCCGCAACACGGCATTGGCGCTCACCTAAGCGCCATAAAGCGTTAAGCAGGAATTTCATTTCCTTTCATTTTATTTTTTGTTGCCCAAGGCCATCAGGGGAAAGGCGTTGATTTTTGGCGGATATATGATCTATTTCATCATGCCTGCATGTGTGGCAGCTACAAATAACTAAGGGAATTAAAAGCAACTTCTGTGCGTGGGAGGCGAGTGATGTATCTAAAAGGGAAAGTAAAGTGGAAAATGGGACTCTCGAACTCTACAATTTAAATTTCTATTATAAATTCAAGGTATGCAAGTCCATGGCTCTAAATAAAAAAAGCATTTTCGGTGGATCGCGGTTCAAAGTTTAAAGTAAACCTGGCTCTTCAATTTTCGTTTAAGCAATGTAATTTATCTTAAATTAAATTATTTATAATTACTTATATGTAATAATGTTTATTAGATAGAAAATTCTTGCAATACAATTTATTAAAGTCCGAAAATATAACTGTGTTTTCAACTAAACCAGCAAAGATATAGTTCGGATTCAGGTTTGGTTTCAAAAGTTTGGATCGTGGTAAATAAAATATTGGCAACCAAGTTTTATTGCAGTCTTGCTTTAATTAGTGTAATTTTCGACGAATTGTGCATGGGGAATTTGAGAATCTTTAAATTTGTTATGAATTAGCTAAATCGATTTGTGTTGTCTCATAAAGTGCACAAAATTCTGTCAACGCACAAATGCGCATTTGACGAGCATTGCGAGCAATTAAAAGCAGATTTTATAGGTAGTCCTGCACAGGATATTTCTTAGCCTTGCTAATGCCATGCTGGACAATTGGGAAATAAACGCAAAATGGCTGCCAAATTGGCAATTGAGAGAGAAAATGATGGAAAATCGAACGTGCATTATATATTTCAGCGTTATTAACTTGAAATTACCAGCGAGAGAAGCGGCAGGGGCAGGGGGAGGTTGGCAAAAAGGACTATCAATGAATGTTAAGGACAATGGGAAATTGCTGCTCTCAGTTCTTAATTGCTGTGACAGCCTGTGGCCAAATACATATTTTCGGCAACGTTTACGTTGAGCTATTTTCATGATGTAATAAATGAAATTAATTTTAATAATTGCAGCGATTTTCATTCGGGGGACAGACAGTCGGGCAAATGTCGCCTCGTTTCGTTCCCATTGACTCGTAAACAGCGCAAAAATATGGCCAACGTTTTTATTTAGGCCACTTATTTTATTTCGCCAACATCACAGATTGCTGCGACTAGTATATGAACATATTTAATGATGACCATGAAAACTGCTTAATCGGAAGAATGAATATGGATATATGTACATGTTGCCGCAGACTGGGAACCTCAACTAGATAATAAGCACAAAACATAAATACCCCGGGGAAATATGAAAAACCAACCAAAATATTTGCACAAATCTAAATGCTCAGTTGGCGGCTTCCTTTGCTATCTTGCAATACCCTGTAGCCATTGAAAAGAGGTAAGGAAAGGGTACATTGCTTAGCATCAATAGAGGAGTCAATCTAACGCAGACTGTCTATTTAGGCAGAAACTATGAGATCTGGAGACTTTAAACTTGGATTGTGTGTTATCCGATTGCCCGCGCATATTGAGTTTATTTCAGATCATCGACAGCTTATCCTATATATTTCCATATTATGTTTACTTATTTCGAAACATTCGAAGCAAGCTCTCGTATAGCAAGCACAGAACCAAAATATTTCACATTTTGGCAAAGAAACACATACAGCTTTAAGCAAAGAAACCTATTTGGAGGTCACTTTTAAGATCAACAAATTTAATATTAATCGGATTGAAAAAGAGCCATCAAGAATTCAAGCAATACACGTGTCATGGCCAGGATATCTCATAGTCGTGCACCACCGACTGGAGCACAGTCACTTTTTTTTTGCGCAAACAGCAGCATTTTTAATATAGCTGACATTTTGTAGCCCCCTGCTTCCACCGAATGGGTATTCGAGCAAGATTTTTATTGATAATAGCAACGACTATTTTTCGCATTTATAATATAGGGCCATATATTTTCATGAACACTAAATTATGAGGCGGCTTGCGGCTGAGTAGGCGCCTCTGGGGGCTCCTTTTCGTGTGCTAAAATTGATAAAAACAATTGAAAATATTTCTCTACACACACGCACAAATACAAACTCATGTCTTTAAATATATTTCTGTTTCCAGGCCAAATTACTTAAACGTGTTTTTCTCTTATGGAACATCTATGCAAATTATTTTTTTTGGATTTGTGCGAGGTGATGGGGAGGCCATTAAAATCCTCAGAAATGACAGATATCCCTAACACGGCATCCTGCTTCGAGCCCGTGGAGTGTCTTAGCTATACCATCCGGCATAAGTATCCCAAACGACTGGTCACCTACGATGCGGAGGAGCTATGCGAGTCACGACTCATACGCTACTCGGATCTGACCGAAAGCGTCATGGACGTCATGAAGCCAGTCTGCCAAAAGCAGCATTTGAAAAAGAGAGACAAGGATAAGACTGGCAAGACTAATGATAAGGTCCGGGAACTTATAAAAAAATCCTGCAAGCCGCTCAGCGCCTGCGAAAAGTTAACGGAGCAACAAATACAGCAGCTGGAGCGGTGCGGCAAGGAGCTGCACCAAATTACAGTTAGTCGTCTGTGCGCGGGCGACGATCAGAGAACGAAGCCCACCTGGCAGAGCCTAAAACCCATCCAGAAGTTCTGCTTCTATTGGCAGGCGCTAACTGGCCACGAGCTGCGGCCAACGCCCTACGAGAACTTCAAGGAAATCTTCATGAGGCGCTATGTGAAGGAATGCCCACAGGCCAGTGTGCGGCGCCTGCGCACCGTGGTGCAGCGCACCTGGCGGCGCATGAAGGGTGAGCAGCGTGTGCCCTTCAATCTGTACGCGCTGCTCTACCATGTCAGCACCGGAGCTGTGGATCCCTTCGATCATTGTGCCGTGCGTGTGCTATTGAATCGCTGGCGCTGACCTTGGAACATTTTTTTGGGCCTTTGGCTCGGTGTGTTTGTTTGTGGCCGCATTAAAGTGTCTGTCAGGCAGCTGAAGAAAATTTGATTTTGATTTTAATTTCGCAATTTTATACAAAACAGATGCTGGACAATTTAACCATATGCGATCTATTTTTATGCAGAGTTTCCACTTTTCACTTTGCCCGACTGAAGTGATGGCCCTCCCTCTTAGCCTAGATAATCACATGTTCTCTGACTCTTTTCAGCTGTTTTCATGAACTGTGCCATTTTTGCACTTGAACCACAATTGGGGAAATGTTACAAATCGAGGCGCCAAAATAATAATGGATCTCGAGCTCATTTCGCACATGTTTCAAGGTCGTCATTTGACATGACCTTGAGCTCTGTGTATAACGTATACGCCGTGGATTATCATGTATCTATTGACATGTGGCATTGGGCATGAAAGGCAGCTCAATTATTGGCTGGAGATCGGCATCAGACAATATACGCTTCCCAAATCCCTGGCCAGCAATTTTGATGGTCAATTTTGATGGTTCGCACTTGCCGCCAACCTTCGACAATTCAATTTTACCATGCGCATAAATTAACAATAAAAAAATACTGTGTACCGAAACAAGAACTATTTAAAATGTAATTTGGACTTTTTTACGAGCTCAATGTTTAACTTTGTCGTGTCCAAAGAAAATAAAATAAAATAAAAACAATAAATAAAATTGTAGCAAATCGAAGCTGATAGCCAGGGCCCGAAATCAGATGAGTCGAAGCAACATTATGCTAATAGAAATGATGTCCGGAGGGTGAGGGCTTGTCTGCGGCTGGTGTTGAGCTTCATTGAAAAGCCTAAAGGCTGGGCGGCTTTCCACGTTTATGGCTAGCGAATTGTCGTTGACAACTTTTGGCGAGTCGCACATAAAACGAAATGAAATGGAAAACTAAAAAAAAAAAAAAAACAACAACAACAAATCGAAATAGAAATAGAAATCAGCAATGACATCGATTCGCCACGTTTCCCCAGCTGTGCAACTGTATCGAAGTCGTGTGTGTGCGGCTTGAAATTTATGGTTGTAGATATTGAGTTTTATAGTAGTGGGCCCAGGTCCAAGCCGTAACCCTGCCAAACCGACCGACCGCCCAGCCCCGCCTCACCCCGCCCCGCCCACAGCCGTCGCATAATGTGCCGCTCACGGATTTGCGCATTTTTAAGCGCCGAAATCGAAAAACAATTGGCATTCGCATGCCTGACACTCGCAGCATCGTCTCCGGCGACACTTTGAAGCTTCTGTGTCAAATGTAGCAATACCCCTAACCCCCTGCTCGGGCCCAAGCACTCAAACCCTTTTTTGTTTTGCCAGGCAGACTGCTTTGGTTCGTCTTTTTTTTATGGCCGACTGTTGCAAAAGATTTTGTTGTTTTGATATTCGGCAATTTTATTGCCTCGACCCAAGTTCGCACCTCAATTTGTCTTCGTAAATGTGAAAAATGTGGAAATTAGTTTGGTGGTCTGCAGCAGCCGGGAGGCCTCTCGGCTGCCACATTTCATCAATCACACGATGTGTCACACCTATCGGGGTAGGCGTTGAGCCAGCGTCTCGTATCAGTTGCAGCTACCAACAACTGTGGCGAATCTCTAAAAAAAAAACCGAAAGGAGTATGTCTGCCACGCCTCTTGAGTTGAGTGTCTGCTGTTAATGGCGTGCGACTGAAATTTGTGGCATACTTGCAGGCGTTAAGCCGAAACTCAAACAGCCAGTTAGCTTTATATAGCCACGGCTATACAGTATTTCAGAATCTTTATCGATACAGCAAACTTTGTGTCACTTAGCCATTTTTATGCAAAGTCGCAGCGCAAACACATAACGTAAAAATCAATGGCCAAACACATAGTTGGGATTGAGGGTTCAGTGCCACCCTCTAAATAAGTAACAGCTCCATCCTGGCCAAATGCCGGACAAGTCCTCTTTATTAACATAACAATAATTATGGCTACGTTTTGGCTGCCCATTTGCTCCCAAACGCTGAGACGTTCAGCAAACAACGAGAACTACAAATGGGATTCTGCAGCCATAAGCAAAACGCGCTCAATCACAATTGACATCCTGGCGAAGGGCAGCGGACGCTGAGCGGGCGGCGGGCAGCGGACAGCGGCCAACGGTCAGCAGCCGCCATCGACGCTATGCATCCGGTTGAATTGATTTCCAGCAATGAAATGGGATTTTTTCTTTGTCATACCCTGTTCTTAAATGTCAACGCAGGGCATATTATACTTTTTGAGATATCCGTTTGTCCGTTCTCATGCTTATGGCACATGCCTGCGCTTGTCAAAATCGCTAAATATTTTTTTTGTCACACCTACAAGCGTCTCCGCTAATCTATGTAATGTGTCTAAAGATTCAACAGCAAATTTAATCTTAAATATTCCCAAAAATGCAATAACTTGGACTTGCCAAGAACTATAGCTGATTCGATATAAGCAATAAATGGAGAGAATTTCCTTTATACAGCCGAAAAAACAGCACAGTTTTATGCACAAATAATTGGCATTAACTAGACTCTTTCCTTTCGAATGCTGAGGATTCCTTTGCCGAACATCTTTTAGGGATAATGTTCTAGATCATCCAAATTGTTCTGATAGTTTACAAGATACCAAGGTTGTTCTGATTTTCTTCAATGTCTGATATTTTTCAAGTGTCCTACAATGCCAATCAACAGATTAAATCCTTACTATTGGCAATCTTCAAAATTAATTAAGCAGCAAGAAAAATTTGTTGTCATGCACATATTCGCCCTAATAATCAAGAATTTTGACTCTCATATAATTCGAGTATTTATCATGAAACAAAAACAGAGTATCTCCAAGTTGTTTGCTTTCGATATCAGCGTTCTTTTGAGTTGAGTTTTTTTTTTCGATTTTTTTTTCGTGTGGGGGAGTGGCACATGTAAATGGCCGACTGTAATTGTAACTGTAACTGTGACTGTAACTGTGACTGTGTGCCTCTTCCACGTAATTAACTTCAATTGAGTTTTGGGGCACGCTGCCAGCGGGCTGTTTGACTTGTTTGCAGGCGGACAAAGGAGGCCGCTGCTCATTAGGAGCAGAGCCCAAAGAGGTCACATAAATTGCGCTTAAAAAGGCGCAAATTGACAGGCGTGCAGATTTAAGATGCCAGTTTGGCTCCCGAGCAAATCCAATTTCCGAGCGGCAGTCTTAAGACTTGCGGCTTGCAGCTTGAGGCTGAGGTTGCACGTACGCGCAACACTTTCAGCGCCAGTCGCCCACAACAGAGCGCACAGCGCACAGGAACTGGAACAGGAGCTGGTGCAGGATCAGGTCATGTCGCGGTCATAAATACAACAATGCCGCTGGCAGCAGAAGTTTGAGCTGAGTGTCGCCAGCGCCATAAATTTGCGCGCAAAAACTCACGGATTTATGTTGCAAGAACATGCGGCAGCAGATAGCAAAGCGGTTCATAACACAACTGTGCGAGAGAGGAATATATAGTAGGGGGGCCAGGGCGTGTGGCGGGATATATCCTGGTCTTGGTGGCCGTGCTAGGCAAACGTAATCCACTTTAAAGTTTGTCGCCGCTTTCATTTGTGGAATGAACACGAAACGCGGCCTCGCGCTCGCCGGTCATGTGATGCGAGTGCCATATCCTTGCGGATATCCTTCAGCAACTGCTTCAGATACAGTTGCTGCTGCTGCTTCTTTTCCATTTTTTCTAATTTTTTTCTTCTGTTTTTGGCAGCCATATGCAGCGCCTGGTCCTGCTTGTCGTGCTTGCTTGTGGTATATAGCCCGACACGACTTCTTATCCAATTTGCATTTAACGCATTTTTGGCCAATTTTACAGGCTTCGTTCAGGACAACCACCAAATCTATGGCACTCTCTGCCTTGGCCTTTGTTTAGCTTCCTTCTCTCTCTCTCTCTTCATATCGCTCTGCCTCTGCTCCTGGTTTTGTTTGCAAATCCCATTTGCATTTAATACTGATGACTGTCCGTGAAATTGAGACGCGCTCGCTGAAATTAATAAAAGCGCCTGCCAAAGCAGCTGTCAGTTAGCCAAGCCAAAATGTTGCCCCATCGCGCCACCGCGCCCGAGGGAACCGAACAGAACCGCAAGTAAAAATGTTCAATAAACGTCCGGCCAAGTGCTGGCAGCCAACCGCAAACGCCTTCAATATGGTCGAAATTCTCAAACGGCAGCAGTCAATTTTGAATTTTTAGCCGTTTTTAGCCATTTTAGAGCACCAGCAGCAGCAGCAGCTGACTTTGACAGCGACTGCCCGCCCGCTGGCCGTTAGTTAGTTTGCGGTTCGCTTCCAACTCATGTGTTAGACAGGGTTACGTTCTGGGCACCAATTAAAATCACGAAAATTCCCGCACTATCCCATAACCCAGAGCCCAACTATGCCAGCTATCCGGCTCGTCCGCCCTCACACTGGGTAAACACTTTTGGAGCAGCTGCCCGGCAATGGGCCGTTGAGCGGCTGGGCGTCGGGGCGGATGGGTGGATGGGCATGTCGAGGTGCTTTTGACAGGCCTAGGTATTAATTAGGTTGTTAATTTTGCATTTGGCGTGCGTCGTTCGCTATTCCCGTGAAAAACGCAGCGCCCGTAATGACACACGTGGCATGATGATAAATCTTGCGGCTTGTGCAACAGCAGCGAACACATGTCACAGTTGCTCAGTGTCCACATTGCCACCGCAGCAGCTCCCGGTTCCGTTCCCGCTCCCGTTCCCGATCTCATTCCCGGGCACCTGTCTCAATTAAGCGTGCAAATCGCGCCCATGTCAAAATTAAATGCCGCACTCTAGAAATAAGATCTCGGGGAGTCAAGATCTAAAGGCGTTGCTCGACAGAGATGCAGAAGATGATGTAGCTACGGTCCCAGATATATATCTACAAATATATGTGGCTCATCCATAGATAGCTTCATTTATGTCATCATTCTTGTGGTTGCGGTTGTGTTATGCTTTGAACACGTCTCAGGTTGATTTTCCTGAACGAATTTCTGCTTATGCTTAGAATATTTCGTGATATTTGAGAAAAGTTTTAACGTTGAAAAGGTGATGTATCAAGTATTTGAAATTTGGTACAGTTCTTTCAGTTAGTCTAAGAACATCCATTTTTGAATAAATATTAT